GGTGGTTTGCTGCTGGATAGGCTCTGAAAATGTTTAGGCAAACAGCTCAGCTCCCAGGACTTCTCTCCATTGCAGAACTCCATGCTCTGTTTGCCATCCCTGTTCCCCCAAAGAATCTGGGAGTTGCTGCTTTGTTTAGACAAATTCACAGACAGAAGTTCAGATGTGGACCACAGGCCACAAGGACCTCTAGTGATAGCAGTGGCAAAGACTGTACAAAGAAGGGAGATCTTTGGATTGAAAGATGCTCCATTGCTTATGGAACCTGTGTAGTGTGTACAGCACCGACCTAGAAGGCAGCAGGAGAGAAGGACAGTACATACTAAACATGACCCTGATGCCCCCAGACCTGACAAATTCTGTAAGAGCACCGAGAGAGGTTCTTCCAAGTCTCTCTCTTCCAGATACTAAAACATTATGTGTGATTTTCATGTAGTACTTTTTAAAAGAATCTAAAATTTTTTAATCTTTTGAAAATCCTTGTCTTGTGTTAACTTCATCTTGTTGTTGTTGAATATGAGGCAGGGTCTCCTGGATGGTTCAGATTTGCCACTAATGTGTAATCTTCCTTCCTCGCCTTCCAAGTGTCAGGATCTTAGGCCTAGGGCTTGTCTATTTTATTTACAATTTTTAAATTTTGTAACTATATTGTTTTCAATCTCCTGCTCTTTTCCTCTCCCTCTCCTTTTCTTTTTTCTAAGCTTCTTGCTACATATTTTTAGATAGGATTTCTCTGTGTACCTTGCCAGTCCTTGAGCTCACTGTGTAGACCAGACTGGTCTTGGTCTCAGAGATTCACCTGCCTCTGCCTGCAAAGTGCCAAGAATAAAAGTGCACATCACCACCTCGTGTCCATTATTTCCCTACTCCTATTGTGATTATTGTGGGAGCTATCTCTGGTATTGTTACTGTGGTTTATTTTCTGCACTTTGGCCAGTGCTAAGGATTCAGCCCTCTGTAGAAGGAAGCGTAATATACAAACCTTCACATCACCGTGTAACATTCTCTCCCACAGGTGCAGAGACCACAACAACGACACATGAGAATGTGGTAAAACAAAACTTTCTCAAAAGACTATAACATGTCAGCAACTGAATCTAAACATACTTAATTAGGTAGACTGCTGAAAAATCATTCAGGAAGTTGGCTTTAAAAGGATTACAACTTCAAAAAGATAGACAACTGAAGGAAATAAGCAAAATAATATAGGGCATGAGTCATGAATCGTTTTTACAAATGAAAACTTTGGGACATGTTCCAAATAATTTTTTTAATTCAGGAGAAAGCATCATCACCACACCACATTAACCGAAAGATAAATTACCAGGGCTTCAAAGATATGGTTAATGAGTTATTGCTTTAAGAGAGCAATAAAGAAACATCTATGATGACCTCTAAGACATAATAGACAGATCAAACAGGATCACTTTTATTTTAACATAATACTGAAACAGACTAAAGCCACAGAAACCCATGTATCTATTCAAAGATTCGGACTTTCAGGTACAGAGGTAATTTAGACCATCACATAATATGACCAGCAAATAATCTTGTCACATCACACTCTTACTAAAATTCAGAGTTCAGAACAAGAAAAGAATGCTGGAAGTGAATACAGAGAAGAACAATGTTACTAACATGTAACTGATTGGCAAACCAATCAGAACACAGAATATTCATTGACAGAAATGTTAAAAACTAGAGCATGGACCTATGTATTTTGAGTACTTAAAGAAAATATCTGACAACCAATGTGACTGCACACAAATTTGTCCTTTATAAGAACCTTCAAGAACATAACTAAAGCGGTGCATTGCCACTGAGGCAGGACTGGAGCAGACACAGGAAAATAAAAACACAAAGGAAGAAGACAGAAAGCTACAATCCCAAGAGCTCAGGAGAAAATAACTCCTGTAGTTCTAAGGAATTAACAGCATTAACTCAGCAAGTGTGCTGGTTCAATGTTTTTCAACCTGTCCCATGCTGGAGTCATTTGGGAAGAAGAATCATTAGTTGAGGAATTGCCTCATTGGATTGGCAAGTCTGGGGTGGGGGCATTTTCTTAATTGATGATTGATGTGGGAGGGCCCAGCCCACTTTGGGGTCCTGGGATCTTTAAGAATGCAGGCTGAGCAAGCCATGAGACTAACAAGGAAGCCCTGTTCCTCCATGGTTTCTGATTCAGTTCCTGGCTGACTTTTCTCAGTGGCGGATTGTGATGTGGAAGTGTAAGCCAAATAAACCTTTTCCTACCCCAATGGCTTTAGGTCATGATGTTTTATCACAGCCACAGAAAGCAAACTGCCATTGAGCCAGCAGACGTCTCAGATGAGAGAGAAGGTTGCACACAGCAACCAAAACCAAAGCAGAGAATGGAAAGTCAAATGGAAGCTCGCCAATTATAGGAGGTCTCTCAGTGCACACATGATCTCAACTCTGGGCTAAAAGATGCAAATGGCAGTCTGAAGTGAAAAGCAGAAAACGATAACCAACTGTTTATTGCAACAGGAACTCAACTCACTGGCAACGTATATGGAAAGTGTGAAAGAATGGAAAATGGTATTTTATGCTAACAGACTCCAAAAGCTATACTCCTACCTGACACAGTAGATATTCAGCAAACATTAGGAAAAATAAGGAGGATAACTACATCTTCATAATTGGAACACTCCATCACAAACTTTTAACAAGTCAAAAAGGTAACTTCTTGTATCCTAACAGATGGCAATAGAATTGAAGTAAAAATCACCCTCAAGAGAAACTACGGAAACACATGGTGATTGAACAGTATGTGTTTGATTCAAGCATGGTTCCACATATGCAAATTCATAAAGAAATTCAGCATGTAACATTATCAATGATAAGGATGATATGTAGGAAATCTGAAAAACTAATCTTTAGAAGTCCAGCTTTAGGGTTTTGTTCAGGGTGCCAAAAAACAACAAACAAACAAACAAACAAAAAAGAACTAAAAATAAGCAAAGGAACTAAAATCTGAGGGAAACAGGAATTGACTCACACACAATTGCTCCTTTGCATGTTCTTTAATCTTCTTCTGCTCTCTTTCTCTCTTGCTGTCCTGTTCCTGTCTATCTCTGCATTTCTTTGTCTCTTGAATTCCTGTCTTTCCCCAGTTCTTGAGGCTACAGGTATATATATGTTTGCATCAGTAATTATTTTTTAATACAATATGAGTCTTGAGTTTCTCAGGGTAAACAAGGCACATAAGACTTACACAAAGAACAATAAACTACTACTGCTAGGAGAAACCTTTAGCATCAGTTGCTTAGGGCTGTAGGTCAAAGAGAGGGTCTAAGTTTAATTTGCACAAGAAACAGAGCCTGAAGCCTTGCAGTGCTCTATCCTAGGTGGTGGCACAGGCCTACAGGACAGTTTGTTTTTCCCTGAGGATGAGCAAATGGGCTGATTACCTTTGTCTTTATCTTCTCAGGGGAAACAGGAGGGAGCGGTAAATCTCTGAGTTAATCAAAAAAGTTTAAGAATCTTTTACTGCAGAGTTAGTTTAGGTTATGGCTTGTCTATCTGCTGGTGAGGTAAAACCAGGGCATGCTTATTTTTTCTACCCATCAGGTACCTATGAATCAACAATTTTGTGTGTGTAGCAATTTCATGTCCTTGGATATCTGGGATGTCTCAGATGGGATGTTTTTGCCTGGGCCCTAAACACTGACCAAATGTCTGTCAATGAATGTAGTTGCAGGGTGGCAGATCTCTGCAATTATAATGGAGAGGGGAACAAAGACCTGAGAGAGGGAAACAGGTCTCATACATAGCTAAGGAATGTAGTCAGTAAACTAGGACCTGTGAATGGAGAACAGGTATTTACACATAGCTAGGGAGTGTAATCAGTAAACCTCCAAATGTATAGGAGAAATTTGTTCCCAGTAAATGATCATATAGTGCTAAACTGTGGGAAGTAAATCCCAAGTTTGTTACAGAAAGGAAAACGCTACAGGAAGAATATACAGCAAGAAATAGCCAGGTCATTCATAAGATTATAATGCCAAGTAAAGCTTTGATACTGGTTTCATCCATCAGGAGAATCCTTATTTCATCTGAGTCATCTTGTGATAGATGGCTATGTAATTACTGTGTGATCTTGTGGTTTGTAGCAAAACCATTCTTGGTTGCAACATGAACAGACCGGGAAGAGAAAACTCACACCCGCACACAATAAAGGTCACTATGATAATCCTACAACATCAGTATACTAAATAGGTGATAACTCATATTAGTTCCTCTAAATACAGAATAGAGTCAAGAACAACCATTCTTCATGTGTTATTTAATATGGAGCTTGAATCCTCAGGGAAACAAGACGATAGAAGAAAAAGCAACCGAGATACAAACATAAAAGAAAGAAGCCAAATTACCCTATTAGTGGATGAATTGCTTCTATATTTAAAATTCCACTGGGCTGGCAGAGACTTTGCCTAATGTATACAAGTCTCTGGATTTGGTCCCCTGGACCACATATCAAGAGAACGGCTCTGAAAACCATCTGGAGTCCAGCAAGCTGTCTCTGCAGGTAAACGTGCTGACTGCACAAGACTGGAAATCTGAGTTCCATCCAAGAACACCATGAAAGGCAGAATACAGTGACAAGCCTTTGGAATCCCAACACAGGGTTATCTCCTGGAAGCTGAAGGACAGCTCACCTGAGTGCCCAGCATGGGAGAAACTACAGGAAAGATCGCCTCAACAAGTTGGAAGAACAGAACAAACTCTTCAAAAGTTTCCTGTGATCTCAACACACAGTGTCCCCTCCCTTTCCCCCTCCCGCTCCTTTCACACACTGAAAAGACCTAGAGACACTGTGGGAAAGCATCTCTGGATTAAAATATGCAGGGTAGGTTATGGAGACATGTTTGCACACCTCTGGATATACCTATAGCTACAGAATTGTGCACTATTAAACTGGTGAGGTGTGTGATGTTAATTAATCTCTAAGAAAGCCATTCCTGCTCGCACATACTCACTGCTGTCAGATGCAGGGGAAGAAGAGACACCCAGCCTGCTCCTCAGCTTCTTCTCAGCTCTGCCTGCATGGGGAGCTTCAGGGAAGACCAGCGAGCCTGACCCACCCTGGAAGGAAGGAGTGGAGATACTACCACCTAGTGGTGAAGTCAGGATCCTTGTGTACTCTGAAGTCTGGGAACCTCTGGTCTGGCAATTACAGGAGAGCTGGGCAGTCTGTGCTGTGCTCTAGGTCAGGCCCTCATCAGTGCTGGATGATGGTGAGTCAGTCCCAGGGAAAAGAAAAAATGAAAGTAAAGACATCTGTCTGTCTGTCTGTCTTTTCTCTCTTCCTTCCATTTCCCCCTTCCTTCCTCTCTCTCTCTCTCTCTCCTTTTTCTTTAATACATTGGTAGTGGTAATAAAAAGGAGGTAAATATGTGCTTAACACAGAAAGGGACAAACATGGAAGTCAGGACTGCCGAGGATATGGCTTGTTAAGTACCCAAATTATTAATATAATTTGATTTATAGTCTTTTTAATATCTGAAGAGACCAACTTAGTAATTTATTGTTCCTGATTGTAATCCCTATAATCTAGAGGCCAAGGCAGAAGGATTCGGGGTTTGGGTGCCTGAGCTAAATATTGAACTCTATCCCTAGACAAGGGACAGGGGGACTAAGTGTAGACTGTTAACCTGAGGTTATACGGGCAGGGTTACAGTACAGGACTCTTCACAGACCAGAAAGTTAAATGTTGAAAAGTAAGTCAGTTTCGTACTCTAATTGTCTCAGTAACATTCTAGCATAAATTGGGGACAGTCACTAAATCCCTCCCCGCTCCAGCTGAGGAACTGTAGACGCTTGACTCTGGCAGGAGAGGGCAAGTTACTCTTCTTAGGAGTGTGGTCCTTGGAATGTTGACTGTCCATGGGATTGTCCTACTCCCCTTTGCACAGGGGCAATGCTGACAGGACTCTGTGGGTTATTGAAGAAGGGGAGGAGAGGAATGGAGAGGGAGAGAAGGAGAGGGCCAAAGGAATGGGAAGGGAGAGGAAGAGAGGATGGGGCAGGAAGTTGTTGGGAGGGGGGCTTTGGGGGAATTCTGCTGTAGCACTGGTGGGTGAGTGAGCTGAGTATTATTAAATTCATCCTATGTATGAAGCTTTCAAAATTCTCAAAGATTTTGATGATGTTAACTTTCATTGGAGTACAAGATACATGGAGAAAGTACAGTCTGGGCAGTGGCCCCACTCTGTAAGCATGAGGAGCTGAGTTCAGATTCCAGCACTAGGTAAAGAGCCTGGTAGTGGTAGGGGAGGCAGGGGGACCCCTGGAGCTTGCTGACTGTAGAGCCAACACTCCAGATCAACCCTTCCCCCAGCCTTAGCTCCTAGAGGCTATGTCGTATGCTACAGGCACAGGGCCAAAACTGAACACAAAGGAACTCCAACCCCCTCAGCCTCCTAGATGCTTGGATACTGAGGACTGTTTGACCAGAAAGGAAGCTCCCCTGTGGTTTCCAGGAAATTCAGTTCTGAAAATATTGGTACAATATACCACCTGCAAACCATAGAAATAACAGAATGTTCCCTCCCAGCACCAACCTTTGAGAAAAATGGGTACACAGATATTACATGCCAAATACATGCCTTTGAAAAGTTTCTTGATTGTTCCCCAAATGTCAACCAATCAGAAACCAACCTGTACCTACTGATGTAAACCTGTAAGTTTTGTCTTTAAAACCTAGCAGTAGACACGGAACTTCATCCCCTCTGGAGGCTGCTGCGTCAGCTTGCTAGACCGGGTCCTTTCCTCAGTAGGCTAGAACAATCAATAAATCTCATGCATTTGCATAGGTGGTCTGTCTCCCTGGTCTCTTTGGGGATCCTTGTGACTTGAGCACAACATTTGTGGGCTCGTCCGGTATCCCCAGAGACCATCTGGACCCTAAGCCCTTGGAGGTTTTCATCACCCAGTTGGATAAGTTAGATTGTTCTCTGTTAATTTTCCTTTTTCTCTCACTGGCATTTCTGACTCAAACTGTGCAGGTCACAAGTACCTAGGCAGATTTGCTATTAGGTAAACCTGGAAGAATAGGGAGACATCCCTCTTCCTCGTCAGGACGGGAGCCCATCTGAGGCCATCCCGTTGGGGTCCCTGGAACCCAACTGTTTTTCTGAAAGTTTTGAGGGCTATGAGTCCCTGGTGGGCCTTCGTCCAATTCATATGGTTTTTGGCCTTATAGAGCCTGACGAAAACGGACCCTCTGAATTCTGCAGAACTCCGGTACTCTGTGTTGGACCCTTCTGTCTGACTGCAGTGTTTGTCTCTTTTCTGTTTGTTTTTCTGTTGACAGCCTCACCATCAGGGTGCAACACCATCCTCACCCCTTGACTTTGGCCCACTGGGGCGACCTTAGAGCATCTGCCTATAACAACAGTGTTAATGTCAAAAAGGACAAATGGGTCACTTTCTGTTCCTCTGAATGGCCTGTGTTTAATGTCAGATGGCCATCTGGAGGGTCTTTTAATTTAGATCTCATTTCCAGGGTCGAAGAGATTGCTTTCAGACCTCAAACAGGATATACTGATCAAATCCCCTACATGTCACTTGGTGGGGACTAATTGATTGAATTGATGGACCCCTTCCCTTGGTTAAGCTGTTTCTTCCCCCATCTGCTCCCTCTGTCACCCCCCTGCCTCCTCTGTTCCCTCTGCCCCCCTCACAGGTTTTCCCCATAAAGAAGGAAATGGCTAAGCCCATTCTTCAGGGAGGAACCGAGGAGGCTGATATCTTTCCTCTCTCCTACTTTCTTCCCCCTCCTCGACATGGACCCTGACAGACTCCCCTCCAGGCAGGCAATCATTCACCCACACAGCCAGACTCTACAATGCCAGCCCCCCCCGAAATGCTGTACCAAAGACCGGCTCAGGCAACCAGAAGTCAGAGGTGCAACCCCACAACCAGAGGTGATTACCCTGCCACTTTGTCCAGCAGGTCCCCCTGATGAGGTGGGGAATGAGCCCTTTCACTACTGGCCGTTTGGCTCTAGTGATCTTTACAACTGGCATTCACAGAATGCTTCCTTTTCAGAAAATCCTAGGGATTTTCTTAACCTTTTAGAAACTGCCCTTTTTACTCATCAGTACACTTGGGATGATTACCAACAACTCCTCAAAGTCTTGAGTCCTGGAAGAGTCCCCGAGTTTTACACTGACCCCACTGTTGCCAGTGCCAACTTTCCCTTCAGTCGCCCAAACTGGGACCATAACATGGCAGAAGGTAAGGAGAGGCTCCTAGTCTATCGTCAGATTCATCAGGTCTCAAAGTGGCAGCTCAGAAACCAGCCAACATGTCTAAGGTGTATGATGTCAGGCAGGGACCTGATGAGAGTCCAGCAGCTTATTTAAAGAACTCCTTATGAGTCTGAAATGGAAGGGACAGCACAGACAGTTATGTTTGCCTATGTCAACCAGGCAGCACCTGACATATCAAGAAAACATTACAAGCATTAGACAGACTAGGAGAAAAGAACATTAGGGACCTAGTGGCAGTGGCAGAAAAGGTATACAATAAGAAAGAAACAGCAGAACAAAAAGAAGAGAAGAGAGAAAAAAGACAGGAAAGAGGCCTTGCCAAAATTCTATAACAACAGCAGAATAGGCCCCTCACCCTCCCTGTAACACCAAACCACCACAGCGAACCAAAGAAGAGAAACAGAAGCCTAAACCAAAGGTAGAGAAATCTAATGTGCGTACTGTAAAGAGGAAGGATATTGGGTTAAGGTCAGTCTGAAAAAGAACAGATGCCCCCAAAAAACCCAAGTTCTATCGGCATACATTGGGGACAGTGACTGAGGAGGACGGGGCTCAGGCACTCTTCCTGAGCCCAGGGCAACCCTAAAAGTGGAGGGGAAAGCAGTTGACTTCATGGTAGACACAGGAGTGGAAAACTCAGTCCTACTAAAACCAGGAGGGCCCATGTCTACCAAAGCCACCTGGGTCCAAGGAGCCACAGGAATACAACCCTACTCATGAACTACCTGAAGAACAGTAGGCTTAGGAATGGGACAGGTAACCCATTCGTTTCTGATAATACCAGAATGTCCCTATCCCTTCTTGGGCTGAGACCTGCTTACTAAAATAAAAGCTCAAATCCACTTTTCTGATAAAGGGGCCACTCTACTCCATCAAGATGGGAAGCCAGTTCAAGTCCTGGTCACAAGTAACTTGGCTGAGGAATATAGAGTCCACCAAGAGCCAATAAAGCCTGAACCTAACATAAAGGTATGGCTTCAGAAACACCCCCTAGCATGGGTGGAGACAGGGCTGGGGGGTAATGGAGCTGGCATGACACTAGCCTCTAATTTACATTGAAATCAAGTCAGGGACAGACCCAGTTAAGGTCTGCCAATACTCCATGACCCACGAAGCAAAGAAAGGGATTATACCCCACAAACGGTGGCTATTAGAGCTTGGGGTCCTGAGGCCCATACTGTCAGCGTGGAACACCCACCTACTAACAGTAAAAAAGCTTCACACCAATGATTACCGGCCAGTACAGGATCTGAGAGGTTAACAAAAGAGTAACGGGCATTCACCCTACAGTGCCTAACTCCTACACCCTACTCAACACGCTGCCTCCAGACTGACAATGGTATACAGTCCTGGATTTAAAGGATGGCTTCTTCAGCCTTCTGCTGGCCCCTAAAAGTGAGGCATATTTTACCTTTGAATACCATGACCCCAAAATTGGGATCAATGGCCAGTTAACCTGTACTTGACTCCCCCAAGGATTTAAAAACTTGCCCACTGAGAGGAGGCTGGGAGTACAGGGAAGTAGCTGTCCCTCTGGCATCATCAGGTAAACAGGCCGGCTTCCTGGCCTGTGTTCCAGAGCCTGCGGATCGCCTGGGAACTGCACAGAGCTCCCAATCCCGGCGGGAGCGTCAGGTAAACAGGACAGCTTCCTGGCCTGTGTTCCAGAGCCTGCAGATCGCCTGGGAACTGCACAGACCTCCCAATCCCGGCAGGAGCATCAGGTAAACAGGTCAGCTTCCCGGCCTGTGTTCCAGAGCCTGCAGATCGCCTGGGAACTGCACAGAGCTCCCAATCCC